CAATAATTAACAATGATTGTAGTTTTTCCCTCACTAACTGTTACTTACACAGTCTTGTACCTCTGTATTTTTCTCAGATTTTCAAATGGGACTCTATGGGAAACAATAAATGGGAAGGATACAAACAGGACAAACGCTGCTAAAAAATTGGACAGGCACTAATGCACTCTATAGTGTCATTATTTAACTTAATTTAATTCAGGGTTGTTTCAATTCAGTTCAATAACTGTGTTGATATTGCAAAGTTCTTCAGTTATAAATCGAGTTAAATTCAGCTATAACAAGCTCTACAGAAGGCAATAGTGTCATTATACAGCTCATGTCAGTTCAATGTTGATTCAATTCAGTTCATTAGCTGTGTCGATGTTGCAAAGGATCTAACTAAGACTTTGACATGATGCCCTCACATTAATTTCTGAAAAATCAGATGGTATTTCTTTCTGTTATGTTGTAACTTCCTAATTTTTATTTTTTTACTTATAGTCTGGGACCTAAGCAATTTGGGCAATTTTGAGAAATGTAAACATGTCCTGAGGTATTGCTTCAGACGCACAACATTAAAAAAACATCCCAGGGCTTGTTTCCTATGTCCTTGTTTGCTGTGTTTTAATGCAAGCTTGATAAATGATCCATATCACCTTCCAGCTCTCTTTATTAGCCTCCGCTACGCTATAAGCATTCCAGACTCAAAGCTCTTTTTATTTCACAGTGGTGTCATGTGGCACTTCAATGAAACTATTCGAGGTCGGAGATAATTGAGACGTGTTTCGAATTATTTTGCCATAACTGTTTTCTTGATCCCCGTCAGCCATTTTTGAAAACTTTTGTTGAATCTACTCAGTCAGACACATAGAGATCTAATCAGTCACTAAGCACTTGTAATTCCCCTATAAAGTGAAGCTTACGATAGAGATTACAGGCTTTAGATGATACTTTTCCCCACTGAGGGGTCCTGGCACTGTGGTCTTCTGAAGCAAAGCACAAGACGTTCTGTTCTCCTCCAGCAGCTCTGGTGCTTTTGAGCTTGGAGGGTATACAAGGAGGGAATGGATTCCCTGAGGGATGCTGTGTGATTTACTCTTCTGTTCACCTTCAGAGTCCTAGCTTCAAATATGCTATTATTTAGCACAGTTACGCATCTGTCACATATAGCTTTAATGTCTCAGATGTGTTTAACACCTTTTATTTAAACCCTATATTACCATCAACACTTTTTTAATAATGTTAACGCTTTAACACTTTCAAATAGAGTCATTGTTTGAAGTCCATCTGAATTGCATGAAATATCATAATAAATCTTATGCACATGTTGCGATAATTGCAAGGCTTAAATAGCCATGGACTCTAAACACAATATGGGAGTTGTTCTGTCTGTAAAGCGGTAGGTCAGATCTCATCTTTTCTTGGACAATGAAGGATTTCCGTGGAGATTTCGACATCCTTTTTAACATCAAAATAAGCTGTTGGGGCGTGAATCCTGCTGCTGTGGGTTTGAACTACTGGAAGGACAGATTTCTCTAGAGAACGTATATGTGCTCTACCCAAATCCCTTTTGAACTATTTTTTCCAGACTTGTAAGTGTTTGACTTTAAAAGAATGTTAGAAACACCTAAAAGGCTCTTTTGGACCGAGAAGCTCCAGGGACCCCTTAGGAGAAATTTGTTCCTGGAATTTTGTCACTTCAACTTGGAGTGCACACTTTTAAATTGTAGTTCTCCTTTGCAATTTGGAGCATGAGGGTTTTTTATACACTATAAAAATCCAGTGTCACTTACATAACACACTTTTACGGTGTGGTGAGGCTTTGTAGTTCTTAGTAGCAGCTCTTAAGCTAGAGGTTGTAGGATCAAACCCCAGATGGGGCCATTCACGAGCCACTGGCATTGTGCTCTTGAGCAAAGTACTTAACCAACCCCAGTGTGAGTTTCAGACAGTACAAAAGTACCGTAAGTCACCTTGGATTGGAAAGTGACTCGTTAATGAAGAATAATTTAACAATGTAGCATACCTGTGAAGCTGTGGGTCATTGACATGATGATTTTTTTTTTCTTTGAAAAATTAAATTCATACATATAATGACCTAATACACAACACCACTTCTATGAATTGTCAAATTGAAACACACACACACACACACACACACACAGGTTTGTTTTTGTGAATTGTGGGGACATTCCATAGGCAAAATGGTCTTTATACTGTACAAACCATATTTTCTATTGCCCTACACCAACCCAACCCCTAAACCTACCCCTCACAAGAAACTTTCTGCATTTTTAGATTTAAAAAAAAAACTCATTCTGAATGATTTATAAGCCTTTTGAAATATAGCGACACTCAAAATGTCCTCATAAATCACCTTCTCGTTGTAATACCTATGTCATACCCAGGGCTGCATTAAGACCTCACTGGGCCCCGGGGCTATGACTTACTGCAGGGCCCCCCATCACAATAATGATATATATAGCTTAAAATAGGATTTTTATCCAATCAAAATTTTTGATGCATTGCAATTTCATGATTCTTGTTACCAATTCCAATATCACAAAAAAAAAAAATACTAGCCTACGTAAAAACAAACTTACTGAAGACAAGTAAACAGTCATGAATTACAATAGAACTAAGAAATTGATCTACAAAATCTTAAAGCATAAAATAAATAGACTACAAATGGACTGACTAGCCTTCACTGTATAAATTCAATACACATTATTTTACAAAAGCGATTCGGTCAAGGACAGTGAGTGATTTTCTTTCTAATGTTTAATTTACATTATTGACACAAATAGCAACAGCAGCTATAGTAGGCTGCTTTGGAGGAATAGTTCACCCAAAAATTAAAGTTATGTTGTTGTTGTTCTAAACCTGTTGGATGCAAACGTATATATTTGGAACAATACTGGTAACCAAACAGTGTCTATGCCCCCATGACTTCCATAGTATGAAAGAAAAAACAACACTATTGGAGTGAACAGGGACCAGACACTTTCTGGTGGTTACGAATATTCTTCAACATATCATCTTTTATGTTGAGGAGAACAAAGAAATTCATACAGGTTCAGAACAACTTGAAACTGAGTAAATGATGACAGTATTTAAATTTTTGGGTGAACTATATCCCTTTAAAATCTCATCATATAATGCCAGGATCTCGTAATAGCCAACTAGTGCACATGTTTTATCTTTAACTATTAATGTTAATTTAAGACACAAATGACTGTGTTGATGAAGCGACAGGCATTTTGACACATAGCCATGTGTATTCGAACATTTAAACACAAGGCGTGAAAAATAACTCTTAGTTTAGTCAGGCGCAGAACGAGCAAGTGCGCTCTGCGCGTATCAGAAACCGTCATAACGCGCGCATTTGCCAAAATGAATTCTGCCACTGCTTCCTGAACAGTGTCCCTGAACAGTTAAATTAGTTTTTAAACCACAACACTTAAAATGCGTTTAAATGAAATGTTAAAAGCTTACATTACGCGCAAAATGAATTTCTCAGCCCATAAGCGAATATAGGCCTATAGAGTTATTTCAAACGCAAAAAGCAACATCTATCAAGTTAATAATCAAACTAACCTAAAATCTGTGGGGATGATGACGCTGTGTTTTTATCTGGTCCATGTGTCCGGTCCATTTGCTGTTCCACAACTCCTTCTCCATCATCAGCTTTAGTAAAATAAACTAGCTGTGGATTTTAGTGACTAACTCATGTTTTCCCCTCCCTCCTCGTTTTTTTTTTTAGAATAGTTTACATTTTTACTTATCGAAGATTGTTCTTTGCATGACTGTTTCTAGATTACACCAGAATGAAGTGAAGAGAGGTGAATGCAGACATTAGGTGCAGCGATCACCTGACCTGATAGATAGGCTACGTGCACAGTTTGTTCAAAAGGAAAATATATAATAAATGCATTTGATTGGTAAACAAAATTCAAATGTGACGTTTTAATCTCTAATGGTAATGCATGGAATTTATGGAAAAACTCCTAAATAATAACTAAACTATAGTTATTACTATAGTTATAAGCCACTAACTATAATTAACTAAATAATAGCGCTAAAAAGTGAGGTACGGGCTTTGGCGATCAGTGCTACCGATGTCCGTCAATCTACTCCACAGCCAATCACGGGCCCCCTCCTTGCTCTGGCCCCGGGACTTAAGCCCCGCTTAGCCCAATGGTTAATGCGGCCCTGGTCATACCCATGTCATTATACAAATTTGTGTCCTCATAAATCATAAAAGCACGCGTGCACACACACACACTCATATGTAGTTCAGACTATAAAATATTTCACCTTAATATATATATAGATTTTTATATATTAAAATATTTTTCTGAAAATGACTAAGATATGATTAAAAATATATGTTATTACAATTTACTTGATGGTTGGACCACGGCATTATTATTAGGCCTAGTCTTTACAACTTTTTTCTTGAAAATGGTTTAAACGTTTTTCAAAACCATATAAAACCAACATGTGTTTTAAACTGGATTTTTTTTGGGGACATTTTTATGTGACATTGACCCATATGCTGTCTTGCATAAGCTGAGTATGATAATGGAGCTACTCTTTCCATTGTTGGGACTTGAGATGAGAGATATTTGCTTTATTTCTCCAAACCTTTGCATTGGAGCTCAATTCCTCTCCCTCTGTCGGTTTCCCCCTCCCTCCTTGGTTCCCTTCAGCCCTAAAGATTAATGTGCTCCAGTTTCAGCAGTGCTGTCAAATACCCATCCAAAGGAAAGAGCCGCATGTCCGTTTTGCTCACCTGTAGCGCTCTGCCTGCACCTGCATCTCAGACTGCAACCTCTGAAATGCCAAAAGTCATGTTGTCTTAATCTGGGGTTCAAATGTGAAGTGGTATTATAAAAATGACAGTAAATCAAGCCTGCATCTGTGCTGACAGATTCTCTTTTTGTATATTTCTTTGACTTGTTTCTCTCTCTCTGATTTTCTTCAACCTCTCCCCCTGATGTCTGTTCTCACCACAGGTTTGAGAGCTTCAGCTACAATCATCGTTCATTCCTCTGGTCTCTCCCATCAATCACCAGTCAGACGGTCTGCTCTATCCTGCTACCCACGCCAGTGCTGAGGGTGGAGCACAGTTTCCCAGGAGCCACCTCTTAGCCTCAAGATCTTTGGTGCCTCTTCAATACGGAGGAGTGTATTTTTTATTTCCTTCTTTTTTTTTTTTTACTTTCATCCTTTCATCCAAATAATGCAGATCGGCTCTGCAGTGTGGACTGGACTGACTGTAATGACTATGTTGCTGTTAGCCCAGTGGGACATGGGCTGCTGGGGGATGACTCTGAACTCTATCCCGCTTCGTCTGGCTTCCCTCAGGCCCCTCAGAACTAGTGTGGGTGCATCTCTTCAAAGACACAAGCGCAACTGGGTGTGGAACCAATTCTTCGTCCTGGAGGAGTACACAGGAGATGAGCCTCTTTATGTTGGCAAGGTAAAGCTAAATTTCTCCGATATTTTAAATGTATCAAGTGCACTGAGGTCATTTATAATGACAAATAGGGCTGAGTGATATTATTCTCTTTCTTTTTTGAATTCATTAAGTGAAAAAATGGAAACACATAAATGTAGGAATTATTAAAAGGCTGAGAAATATACTAAAACATTGAGTTGATTTCAACTCAATATTGTAATACTGTAATATTATTCATCCTTTGTTGATATTTATTTTACCCAGACCTAATGACATGTACATTTTCTGTACTAAAACCTTGTTTGCTGTGCTTGTTGTCATGATGGTGTTACAGCTCATTCGACCACTTTTGGTCAGATACAGTGTGGTCACATTTTCGATCGCCTCACCTTTGAATGTAGTTGAAGTGACACAATCTTAAAATGTTTTGGACTTTCTTTTCATTTGCATTTAGCACTGTCTTGTTTCAAACAAATCACCTGAAATTAATCTTAATAGGTGTAAATGGGGTCTTACATCTCATCCAGTGGCTGCCTGTTAACTGAGCTGACATGTTTATTTAGATAATGTACTTAGGAAGCCCAGAAGCCACTAGACCCGTCCAGTCGCTCAGACTTATTTCTCTGGAGTGTCTGGCAAAATCTTGTGCCTCAGCCGCACATGATTGCCGTTTCTGTTAAACATGTGATGCTGTTTAAACATGACTATGACCAAGTGTATGCTATTGTGCATACACTTGGCATACAGGGACCTTGCTAATAATTTTAATTTTAAAGAAGTCATATCATAAGGAATCCATTTATACTTGATCTTTTGATATACAGTATGTGCTATGAACATAAAGTTTAAACACTTTTGATTGTCACATTTTCTGAACTGATGTTTTGAAATAGCAGTGATGTATCAGCCAATTCGAAAGTGTTCCTTCTCATTAATGCCAAGTGAAATCACAGAAAACCTCACATGCCTCATGTTTCTTCCATGATGAGGTTTAGTAATACTTTGTGAAAATGTGTCAATCAAACTCTTAATGAAGTGCATGTGAAGAACAGATGCTCTGCCTGCATATTTCCTATGAGAATGTTTGAATCAGTAATATAACATTACTCTAAGGTAGGGGTGTGCGATAACACGATTTTTGATCGTGGACTATTAAAACGTCTCAAAGATCTGCTTTTGAAGAAATATCATGGTATCGTGCTACAGCGCACATTCTATCAGTTGCAGTTCTGGCGCCTCCGTCTCAATAATACAACGTGACATACATTCCCATCAAATGTTAACTCAGCGGTAGAGTTACACTCACGGGACACTGCACTTATTCGCAGTCATAAAAGTGCATTATTTGCATGTGCTTTAAAGCCTTGCCGGTTAAACATTTCATTCGAGTGCTCATCTGATGTGCACTTTTTCTGAGCACGCACACCAGAAGCGCACACACAGCGCTAAAAAGCCTGTCAAACAGCGCCTGATTGTTTATGTCGAAAGTGAAAGTAAACAGTTGATAGTAAAACGGATGCGTGCCTGTATTTTAGATGCTTGCAGCTCTTAACTTGACAGCAGACTAATTGTAGTAAACATGCTACCACTTGTCAAAGGGATAGTTCACCCAAAAATGAAAATTCTGTCATTATTTACACACTCTCATGTGGTCCCAAACCTGTAGGCTATTAATAACACAAAAGAAGATATTTTGAAGAATGTGGGTAAACAAACAGTTGCTGGTCTTATCTTTGATAGTAGGAAAAAAACACTAGAAAAGTCACTGCGGACCAGCTGTTTGGTTACCCACATTTTTCAAAATAACTTTTATGCTCAGCAGAATGAAGGAATTCATTCAGATTTAAAAGAACTTGAGAGTGAGTAAATGATGACATAATTTTCATTTTTGGGTGAACTCTTTAATGTTAATAAAACAACAAAACACAAAGAGAAAAATCACTCACTGCTATTGACTGAAGAACTTTAATACAGTTGCTTTAATAAGAATCAATGTATAATTTATACAGTAAAGTGTATTATTTTTTTAAATTTCTTGAATGCTACTGCTAAATACACCTACTTTCCCTGAAAAATAAAGCTTGTTTTATTTGTAAATAATATGTATTTGTAACGTGTATCTTTGTTCGTGTATTTTAATAACAAAGAAAAAATAATGACGAATTTTATCTTCACCCACTTTGGTCTAAATGTCAGCCATTCGTTTTTATTTTATATTTTGTTACCTTGTAAGGCTTTGCTTTTAAAATAGGGAAATTAGTTTGGCTGTACTACTCAGACAACTTGCAAAATAGTAAAACCAACGTGACAAAGAATCGTGATAAAATTGTGAATCATGATTTTCCTGAAAAAAAAAAGTGATATGATATTTTTGCCATATCGTCCACCCTTATTCTCAGGGTATTTTAAAAGCTTTGTCTGATATTCATTTTCAGACACTTTAAATGAAAGCATTGACGAATGGAGGTTGACATATACTGTTCAATCAGTCTGGGCTTTTAAAGTGTTTTAGCCATCAGTTTTCCTCACATTAATGTCAGCGTGTAACATGTGTAGCTTGTGAATATCTGATGCATTGTTTGATCAAAACACTCTGGCATGGGGATGATCATGTGTTTAATAAATGCCTCGTGTAGTGTATGATCAGACCTCTTTGATGCAGTGTGGATTTTATAGTTATACTCTGAGCTACAGTAAATGAGCCACACAAAGAGGAAAAAAGCATTGTCACAAAAGGGAGCATCTTTTCTTTTATGTATTGGCTCCAGTCTACTAGCAATGTGATTGCTTAATACGCACAGGCTTGTAAGTAGTTTGCTCGATATTAAACACAAAAACAGTCAAACACTTTCCCATTTTAAAGATAATGAGCCAGATACTCAAGCATGCCACCTGCTCTACTATCCTTGGCTTTTACAATACATTATCTCTCAGCCTCTACATCACACACACACACACACACACACACACACACACACACACACCTCTACCATCACGCACTCAAACCCTGTCAGCCAGGTTGAACCTTATTAGATTTAGGCTCATCTCCAATTCTCTCTAGCCGGAGGGATCCGGGCAAAAGAGAAGTGACTGAACACAAATGTTTCCCCCGCACTGAATGATGATCAGTGGAGTATTGTACAGTATGGGGTGGCCTATCTCTCTACCTTCCCATAGGAAAGAGAAGCCACAAATGAAATCTCTCTAAGATGTTTCTCCTGGACTGTAAAGAGATCTTTACTTTGGTCTTCTGTTTCTCAGATTAATTTCAGAGAAAAAGGCCCTAATTTTATAACTCTATACTCTTGTTATATGTCAACATCTGACAGATTTGTGACTTCCTTTAATTCCTTTTTATTTTAAGGAATTCTAGGAGAAATGTCTGAGACAATGTTCATTAGGCAGAACTGAGAACTCCATTAAGAGCAAACTCTGAGCAATAACATTTTACTCTTGGTTTCTTTTACATTTCTTTTATCTTTCACGTCTCAAGTGCTGAATGTATTTTGTATGATGGTCATTGGCTGACTGCTTGTTCTCCTTTCTTGGCTTTTATGTAGACATCCATCCTTTGATCACGAGTGAGCATGAAAGATGGTCTTATTCATCAGGATAAGGGTAGCATAATATAGACATAAAAGACAGGGTCCTCACAAACAACTTACCATGAGATATTATATTGTTTTCATATTCTCTTTCTTTTTATGCCTATGCCCCTTTTCATGGTATCAACAGCAAAACACTAAAGATGTGAGTAGTGGTTGACTGAGATGGGTGTTTTCATGACTGATATGTTGATTTGTATTTACATATGTTATGTTAATAAATTTTTTATAAAAAAATTAATTATTTTAAATTAATTAAAATAATTTATTTAAATGTAAATTATTTAACATTTTTAATTATTTTAACATTTTATTAAAATATTAAAATAGCTGAATAAGCTCCTATTTTGCATAATTCAATTTTAAACTGTTTTAATGTAACTTAAAATTGACAAACATAAATAAAATCTATATTCTTACATCTCAAAATGGCCAAATTTCAGGTAATTAGCTCTCTTTGGGCAATGCATACAGTACCGTTCAAAAGTTAGGAGTCAGTATGAAAATGTTTTTTTTTTTTTAATAAATTAATAATTTTATTCAGCAAGGACTTGGTATTAAATTGATCAAAAGTGACAGTAAAGAAATTTCTAACATTACATGCTGATTTTTTTTTCTCAAAAACATTAATACATTTTTATTGAGGCCAAACATTTTAACAGTAGTTTATGAACACTGCCCCACTTCTCTACAATTACCACTGGACATGATTGAATAGCTGTCATATTCTTGAGGTTTTTGCTAGCCAAAGTCAAGTTTTGAGGCAAGTAGAAGAGCGGGAGATGAAGTTTGGGACCCAAAATCTTTTATTTATCTTCAATACACAAGTTTCATGCATATTGCAAAAACATATCATGAGAACGTTACATAAGTTAGATAGGCATAAGCTGTGTGTGGATAATTCTGACCTTTTGATCCTGTCCTAACAGTGAGCAGAGACTAAACCCTGTCAGCAACAGTTTGCTTGATGATATTCTAAACTTCTAACAGCCTATTTTTATGTTTGTGCAGAAAGTTGAAAGATACAGTATGCTCTCATATGCATGAGACAAACACACTTTCCAGGCAGAAATTTGATGTTGAGACTCCAGGCTGATTGGAGAAGGACTTTGATGCTTCCAGAGAGTAAAATAGAAGAACCTTTTGAAGCCATTTTCACATCACCATCTCCATCATACACGTCTTGCCATTTACATCTTTGTTTTTTTGGCTTCAAACACTTTGCAGGAAGCATAAGAAACCTTTAATTTCCATCTCTAATCAACCCTTGAAATAACATTTTCTGTTCTTGGTTTTATGCTTTATCGATTGTCTCTCACTTGCAATTCATGCTGGAAAACAAGATTTTTTGTTACTCTGAACAAAGAGCAGAGAAGCGAACAGAGAGGCTTATTCTCAACCAAACATGCGGTCGAA